CACAATGTGGAGGGTTCAAGACGGAGACTGCGATTCACACCACAGCGGCTGATAGACAAGGCGGTGGAAATCACCAAGCACCACAGCGTGAACTGAATCGAGCGTGTGTAACTGACGAGCGTATGGAAAGCTGTCTTGGATAACATGAGCTGACACGTGACTGTGTGGTAGTCAATCCACGTAGAATCATTAGGAAAAACAAACAGGTTGCGGAAATCCCAATCCGACCAAAGTTCACAGAATCCCTCTTACACAATTATCGCGGCAATTGCCCACTCACACACAGCACATTTTTTGCCGCACAGGACCTACACGAACGCCCAAAGATCGATGGGGAACCTTTAACAGCAAGGCCAGAACTAGTTGCTATTTAAAATAATCAAGCTGTTTGTGGTGCGGCTGGTTTGGGTCGAACATCATAGTGATCATTTACTTCCCAGCATAATGAAAAATAACTATTATTTCTACCGATTCCGGGGGACTACACATCTTAGTTGCAAAAGGACTGACTAAATTGTAACTTGGATTACCTTCATTGATGTCTTTGCCCGTAGAGGTCACGGTGCGCTGTACTGCAGACTGATAGTTACCACTAGTTGAAATGATAAATTCATCTCCTTGTTCTACGATTGAACCTGACTATGATCTGGACCAAACAGATAAGATCGGGAATTAAAGTTTCGGTGACTTGGGTGTGCCTTGCAACCGGCACTTCCAAACTGACCTCCGGTTTTTATAGTCGAACAATTTTCCAGAGTGTTTTAGGAGGCTGAGATAGCTTGTGGTGTGCCCTTTTGAAAACGTCAAACATTGCTTTCGTTTGTAGGCTGGGATCACCAATAGTGCTAAACGAGCTATGGAGAACCGATTCCTTAGTATATTAGAAAATGTCATGATCTACCCAGAATTCGTACGACCGACCATAACACGCACATGAAATATTTCTTCTGCTGAACCATCATGATTGCGAGTTGGGACTTCTCAACACGGATTTCTTGACAAACCCTAAGTTCATCATAAGACCATCGTTGAATATAACAACCTGCGAAACGTACGGTATTCATTTTGCGGTTATCGGCTTACACAGGACTTAACTAATAAGATCTTCATTATTTAATTTGCCACCGGCTTAACAGAAAGTTCATTTGTTCTTAAATTTGCAATGAATTTCATTCACACGATTCGGGTTCACCCACGGACTGCTGGAAATTTCGCACCACTTGCCAAACAAAAACATTTTCTGCACAGCTCAGTTATCTGGTAATTCCGTGGTCAGTTAGGCTAGTTGCTTGTTCTTGTGTCTCGTGTGCTCAATGGGTGTTTGCACACTTGAAAGGAAAACAAGAACAAATAACACATTTTTATTCAAAGCCTTTTTTGTTCACATGGTAATTCGATTTCACGTCCACGTCGAGAAAATTCTGGCCTACCACTGCAGCGAAACAAATGAGAAAAACTAAAGTTGCGCTGCTCGCTTCTTATCAGTACAAGCAAAATCATGTTAACCATCCAAGCCCGACGTTGAAAAAAAACGTTTTTTTTTGTTTTAATTGAGGGAGCAAGAATGTATTTTTCTACACATCCTTAGCCAGACGGAATTTGTGATCATTTTGTGGACTTTCAATTTTGTGATGTTATCCACCTTATTTCCGCATTGCTTTTAAACAGTTCACACATTTTAAGTTTCATTATTGTGATCAAATCGGCATCAGAGTGATATCCATGTTGATTTTATAAATCATGCCTCACAAGTTGAGGGTTATTGGGAATTAGATGGATGAGTCACGATGCACGCAGTGGGGGGCACTCTCTAATCACGTTCACTAGATGCGAAGAACTAACCCACTGAATACGATAAGACTAGTAAAATGTGTCATAATTACTTTGATCATTTTGTGTCTTTATCCCAGATAGTTTGGAGGTAGTATCACATAATTACCGACAACCTATTGGACTAAACTAAAGGTTATCCTGTCTTAGGTCGAAACGAAAATAGTTGCTGCTCATCTAATTTTTATTTGGACATGAGTGCCTGAAATGCTTGGGACAATCTATGCTTCGTCCGGTAAACCCGCAGTCCTCTATTGATAATGGTTTGGGCAGATGGCAAAGATAATCATGAAAAAGAATCCAGTTCCCAGAAGCAAACTTATGATTTTTCAACTGATAAGACCACATTTGTAGAAGAAAGAACGTTGTTTTATTCGCAGTATTTGTAGTTTTTTGACTTTATCGAATGAAATACTATCAACTCACAGCTTTTGTTAAAATTGATCACGAGTTCAATTATTGCCTTTGAAAACAAATACTTTTGTTGAAACTGCTTATAATCCATGTAGGACTCTCTTGAAATGGCATTTTGTATCCCTAGTGTATATCCTGCACGGTGAACAATGATATTTAATCAAGGAATCTATAATAAAATAGTCTTGGCTTTCGTTTTTAATAATTTATCCATTTTGTGTAGAACTGCTACTGGCGGAACTCTCCTGCCGAATGGGATGGAGTAAAACGCCAATTCGTAACATAGACTGCAATGCTGGATACTGCTTTGTGCACAGATGTGCACACAGGAAAATCGCCGAACAGTTGGCCTTTTATTACTTTGGTAGTATTTATCCGGCAGACCGATCATAAACTGCACTTGATCAGCACGTCTGTCAAATCAAAGCTTGCCTTCTCTGTTGACTGGTGGTGCGTGCTAAAAGCACTTCATAATTGTAACAAAGCTATAAATGCGTGTGCGCACATGTGCAGGTGCTGTGTATGATGCCGTCAGGACGTACGCGGCATTTGTTACTCGACAACTGACGTGCACCCGACTCTCACTTGTAACCGCTGTCTAACAGGGTTAATGGCTTTTGTATTAATGGTTCCGTAAACAGGAACAAGCAATTTTTCGCGAATATTTATATGCACCCCAAATTAGATTCGGGTGCAAACTACTTTGTCTGGTTACCGATGAAGGTTTGGTTAACTTGACGCAAATGTACACTACTTGTTGCTCAGAATAACCCTTGTAGTGACTGTTCCAGAGATATTGATCTGCACAGACAGCCTGGCGTCAACCAAAAAAAAATAGAAAGCATTGCAAGTATCTGTAAGAACTGGAGCTTCAGAGCGGTAATAGAGATCTATTTTATTGGTAGTTTTTGGTCTGTCCTATAAAAAGGTCGGAATTATCGAATAGATGGACTATGCCATCCATAAATTCTTAGAATCCTTACTTTCCAACACTAAACTCGAGGCTAAAAATGATTGATCTTGGGAAACTTTTCCTATGGTTGAGTCATACCAGGCAACTATACCAGGATCAGCCGTATGTTGTGTTAGCCTACTTTATTTCACTTTTGTGGACGCTAAATTTGAATAGCTGCTCAGACTGTCAGATACGATGCTGAAAACACAGACCTATTGTACACGAATTTAACCTCCCGGATGCGAACTTGAGTACTTGTTAAGTTGGTCGGCCGTACTGTCAGAAAAAATCGATTCAAGAATGTTCTTTTTGCACATACAGTGAAACAATTTTTAGGCTTAAGTGGACCACCCTACTTGGCGTTTATAAACAGCGGTTGAAAGGAGCAAGAATTCTCAGTGTTTCATTTTGCTACATGTTACTTCCCACTACCTAAAAGTCACGGGAAATCTCAGGTGACAAAAGGCCCATCCGTTAAAAGGTATAAACTGGTCGTTACTTCGTTCTTCCTTCGGCCGCTCGGATATAGTCAAAAGTACAAATTTGTTTACGTGCTATTAATACACAAGCAAATCTACTACATTAAACTGCCATACACAGAACACAACCAACTTGCGCTTCACATTGGGTAATTCCGTCAAATCAACAAAGCAAGTGGAAGGTTGGGTTTAATCAAAGAACATCTTCCAGGCAATTGATCTAAATAAGTTCTCTAGTTTGTACATTACCTCTTTTTTAAAACCGTGCACACCGATTTACTCTATATGCATATGAACAAACCACGGCTCGCACACTAGGTGTTTTCATGAAGGCAAACGTAGAAATCCGTTAGTCAGATATGGTACCATCAGTAAGATACTATCTTGTTTGTTTAGTTTACCTGAATACTGTCCACGTAAGGGACCGTTTGCCGCTGCCCTTAGCCAGTTCAGTGTTTAACGCTTCAAAGTATGTTCACTGGATGCTCCTGTGAATTAGTTTTCTGAACAGTCGTGATAGTTGCGAGAAAAAGTAGCATCGCAATGAGTTAACGCAGGGTTTTTAAACAATACAGCTTAGTTGATAGTGGTTGGTATGTAGTTCACTCAATTTATATTCGTTGCCCCTGTTGTTGGCTGGCTCGACAAGTGTCAGCTCATTGGAGAAAAATCCGTCAGAACTGTGAAGCTATACGAGAGATCTAAAAGTGAAGACTTTGGCAACCTTATGAGTAGTATTTCATCCATCCACCCGTCCATTTCTAAGGAATCGCTTCCTTATCTGAAGCTAACGCAGTAGATACAAGAAGCCTTTTGGATCACTTTAGATAAGCGATATGGAAATCACCGTCAACACTTCCTATTTTCGTTTTAAGACTGCTGGAAAAGCTCTTGACCCCTGATTAGAGGGACTGAAATTTTTTCATGTATAACCTGACGTAACCGATGCACGTGTGTTATGGACGAATTTCGTCGGGTTGATTATGAATTCAAGAACCTGAACATAAATAGATTAATAAACTAAGGTAGATATCAACACATGAGTACATAAAGGGCTATTGTTTGTTTTCTGCGACAAACGGAAGGTGAAACTGAATTAGTTTGCATGATAAAAAATTCGGCCATAGTTGATCTCTGCGTGAAGGTGGTTCGGTGTTAGGAACTCTGTTGAGGATTGTGACTAGTGAGCAGAAATCCATTCACACACCAAAACTCATAATATCACATGACCAACGGACCGAAATACATAAAAAAAATCAGAGTAAGTGCAGGAGCCAGGGATATTGGTCAGCACTGATGGACCATTCAAACATGAAACCCACCGTTGGATTGTATGTTTGCCTCCTTCAAGGAATCCACCAGAGACATGTTGCCAATCCTCGTTGGATAACATGTATCGCTTATCGTAATAACGCATTGACGATAACTTTGCCTTGTGTGGATCACCTTCGCCGACGTCCAAATTTCCGCTAATATCGTAGTGAAAGTATGTTGGCAGGCCGAAAACTTGACTGCGAAAGCTTGAAGAAGATGAATAAATGGGACAGAACAAATAATTCAAGTACTACGAAGTCTGCACAGATGTGCAAAGATCCAACCAAAGTGTTGGTAGATGAAGGACAATATGAATTTATCTTACTTTACACAATTCCCTGTTGTTGGTCACAAAAATGAGTTGAATAAAATTCCAGTTTGTTATTGGAAGAGGCGCACCATAGATTTAGAAGTGCATATCAAGAAACAGCTCTTATTTTCAAGTAAATTCGACAAGATTTGAAAAGGGATATCCATTAGCTGTGAATTAAACACGCGCAGTATATTTTGTCACCGTTATCAATGGTTAATTTAAAATTTAAACCCCGGAAAATTCAGTCAAGTCTATTTGTGATTCCCCAAATTTATTCAGAGAAACCGGTCACATTCGGTGGTTGACTTACTTTACCTGTTTACTAGACTAGTATATGTAAGGACAATTCACTCGGTCAATTTGATCTGATTCATTTTATTTGCCGTTTCGTTTTTCGGTTCATAATTTCATGAACCATATCTGAACTCTGCGCTCTTTCTAAATGCGGGTTCAAATGATTCTTGTGTAGCTAAGCGATTCCAGTTTTCTGAAGAATGTAGGTTCTCCATGGTCCAAAGCTCATCCGATAGGTTAAACTGAGATGTAAAAAATTGTAAAAACGCGCTGACAGCGACCAGCATCGTGATATTACGGAGCCTTTCATCCCTAACACAGCTTGGCAATAGGCTGTTAAGTTAATCCGGATGCAAAATGCTGGTGACGGTAGCGACAGAACGCGTTTTTGACAGCGGTTAGCTCTTCGGAAGTTGCGCTAGCATCAGCGTTGGAGACAGCATACAGCAGGTCGGAAAGTGTGGATTACCGATCGCTGGAATGTAAATCTTAGGAATGTTCTATCCTCTATTCCTGATGTTACTTCATTGACACAAGTTTGCTTTTGACAAGCTGAAAATCCGCGGAAAATTATTAGCATTCAGTGTTGGTGTACACGCAGGTTCGACTTTCTTGAAAACGAAGCGCGGAGTAGATGAGCTAGCAATCAACTATCTTCCTGAAACTATCACTGCCATATCTTAATCACTCGGAAGTTGAGGTAAATTTTTACTCGACTGCTTCCGTGTAGTGATGTCTCATTGTACGGGGACCCCTGGACTTTGCAATCAAAAACCGAATCAATACGGTACGTGCTGCCGTACAAACCAGCATTATTTCCTGGAGTGTTGAAAGTTAGTCACTAAGTGTGAACGTCATAGCTCTCCAACCTAAAAGTTCCTTTGAAACTGAACCTGGAATTTCACTTAGGAATCATTGCAGATTTAATGTCCTTCAAAATCTAGTCCAAACACCTGACAAGCAGTGTGAGCTAGTTTTATTGCATAGACTTCGATATGCCTACTGATAGAATGTCAACAGTTTTCTTCCAGAATACTAGGCTATGGAAACAAGTTCACATCCACCTGAGTTTTTTGTCTTTAGGGCCAAGTGACAAATCGCTAGGAAACAACAAATCTCCTCGGTTATGCTGTGATGAAAGGCTGACTGGCATTCAATTTTTAAAAAGCTGACTTCGTGCTCCAGGAACTACGTTTCTTCATAATGACACTTTACAATGAATAAATTGTCAAATGTAGTCCACCGAGGAAGCTTTGGGAGATATTTAAAATTCGATTCTGATTCCCCGTTGAAAAATTATTCCACTCAGTAATGAACCTGCGAGTGGAATCGAAACACTTCTTACCTGTTCCATATTCGAGCACCCGATAATCTTGCGTGTGCCGGTTGCGGTACTCCGATAAAGTTGGCCAGTTTCAAAGCTCTTGCTTCTCTATGCCGTTTTTGGTTCATAGGGTCCGATGGTGAAATGTCAATATTTTCACTGTAGTATTCGCTATCAGATATTCCGAATAATCCTGTCTCACTGGTTGGCGCGTCGCCCACACGGGTCCAGGAGGTGTTCATCGAACGCCTCGCTGGGGCTACCCAGTTGTTAACAAGAAGGTTGTTTAGCAGGCGATCAAATGGTGTCCACTGATCAATGACTTCAGTGTCCAGTAAATCGCGGATCTGTAGACAAGAGTGAAATGTGCACATTAGGTAATCGCATCATTTGTATGGTGTCAGGGGTAGTCCTGAGATATTTTCCAAGTTGGTATAATGAGTAGCATAGTTCCTGATGTTAGTTATTTTCAAGGAATTGCAACGAAATAATTGGAGTATCGTGTACAGGGTAGCCTGTATCAGTTTTTTCTACCGAAATACTCCCGCACCGTGCCAGTGTATGTTGTTCAAGGACTCCGTTATCCCATTTCCGATGTAAATTGTCCTTCTTGCAATGTACGTTTTTTCTAATACAGTGAACTTAAAGGTGCTTATTCTCAAATCCATGAGTTAAATCTCCAACATTCATTGTCATATGTTTTATTACTTATTCCTTTTTACTGCATCGCTTTGCGGAGCAGTCGAAGAGACCGTAGAAGCTAGCCGGTGAGTAGGCGCAAAATTCGAAGGTGGAAGCTAGTCTCACGTTTTCAACTTATGGTTAACGAGCGAAAAACAGTCCATGCCATTAAGCCCGGTAAAAAACCGAGGGCTCTTAAACAGAATCTCGATGATGTTTTTAAGTTGAGCTGCTTTTGCTTACTGATATATCACCTAATGCAACACGACATGTGGTAGGCGAAAATTATTCTCAGCTGTCGTCAAGTAGCTAGAGCGTTACTAATTAAACACTTGAGGAAATAATCCAAGTTGTTTTTTTGTTTTTTATTGGCTTTATGCATAAAAAGTAACTTGGCTGCTGTGGAGTTATACCTGCTTCAAGAGTTAACCTAATACCGCTACCTAGGGGTTAAAACAGCTGAAGTCAGAGAGCCAACCACAGGTTTTCGACAAAGACAAATTCACATTCCCTAAATTACTCTTAACTTTTATACAAGATGTTGATTGAAGTGGTATTTCTCCACTCTGGTTAATATGAGATGTCATGGGGAATTTGGGGAAAGAGACTGATGGCAGGGGAAACAAAGCGCGTGCAATGCGCAGCCACCTACCCCCCCCCAAATCATCGGTGAACGAAACTGCGGCAGCTACAACCAGTGTACGACGAGTACGCGGTTCTTACAGCTGACGATGATGATGAAATTGTGGATTGATTTTTTCGCTGAGTTCTAGCGTAGTGTATTGGTACTTAGCCTAGGATGGGCAAATCGATAAACTATTGTAATCCTTACAAACAGGAACTTCAAGTTTCCAAAACAGTGAAAATCTCTACGAAACTATATAAGCACATTCAAGGAGTTCACTTAAACAAATAATCAATATAGACCACTCTATGGATGACCATCGACAGGTATTCTAGTTTCAAAACGCCATTCCATCTGCCTCAGCTAAAACGTTGTCGCTTTTAGACCTTTAATTAACACCTTCCAGTATCTTTTGTGTCTGTCTTCTTACAAATAGTAACCTCAATATCCTCCTTCGGTGTTTTCCTCCAAGACAAAGAAAATTTAATTTTCATTTTTGAATTTTCATTTTTCATTAAAATTGAAAATTCACTTGGCAGGCCCCTGAGAATTTAATATGTTCAAACATAGACAGGTCAAATGTGAGATACAAAGTCATTCTGTTTATTTTTTTAAAAGTTAGAGTGAGCTGAAGATTAACAGAATGGAGCAAAAACCAGTACAAATGGCATTCACACAAAGAAACCAATAAACCGTTGTTTTTAAGGGCAACGCCCGTGTAACACTTGGTTCAAAGAGATTCCTGGCTTATGGCATATTACCAAGGGTCAAACTGTAACTTATGGTTCAGGAAACTTCCTGTCTTTTGTTTCGTATTGCATTTGAAATAGTGCTTCAGTTATTGTTAGCGAGAAACAAGATGCTAAACATGTCCCTAGTGCTCTTACGTGTTGTCACTCGATAGGAAAAGTGCCACCCATTTCAGTTTGTATAACATTCTAAGTTAACCCCAATAAGGGTGTCGCTGTCGAGTTAGCACGTAGCTCATGTTTGGATGTGCTCTCAATAAAGCGCTTATATCAGGGACTGGTGAAACATATTCCGTTATTCCAATATTGGCTGAATCTATAACGGAATCTGTAATCTAGTGAACTCAGCAAAAATGTGCTCAGCACCCAACTATCCTTCACTATTGGTAGATTCCAGCTGCTTCTATCTGTCTGCTTCTCCGTTCCCCAATTGGACAATAGCTTTAGTAACAGCTAATTTCAATACGGTCGCATGATGTGGCTATTACAGATAACTGAACATAAAGTTGTATGGGATATTTTTTGTCACACACTGTGAGCTCTCTGGTTGACCAACTTATGTTGGTTACAGTATTTTATTGAGTAGGGTAAATCACTCTGTCATGATGAGTATCGCACATTGGGAAGTGGTTTTCCGTGAAACGAATGTAATTTGCCTACAGAATGATTCACACTGACCATACCTTGTGGAAATGCGTATTGCATGGTTATGAGACATAATAATCGGCACTTGCCTGTATTCACCAAAAAATGTTGATTTCTTTGAAAATCGTGTAACGTCGACGGGCTAGGTTCAATTCCTACTTCACATACCTTTTGCAGGTGAACATCCACCGTATCCAAATAGGGCATCCAGTTGGCTTGCTCCAACAGCTTCCATGTGGATCGATGCACTGGCAAAAAGTTGCCGTACACTGGGTTCGTAGCCCATATTTGTTGTGTGTCAGGCGCCTTTAAATCGTCTTTCCCAACAACGGGTTCGGGAGGTGCATCAACTTGGAAGCGCAGCAGACCAATTGTTTCACTCTTGGGATTCAACCAACTCCTGATCTGGCTTCCGAGGAGATGCATCACTTCCGTCAGCTTGAGATTACTCAAACTCATCTGGTCTCCACACTCAGCGATCTGCTTATTCATTATTTGTATCTTTTAAAAAGAAGCAGAAAATGAACAATATAATTTGACCGCTAAACAAAGTGTTTGATATCTTAGTTGCAACACAGTTGCGTAACGTTCCGGGGATTAGGTTAACGGATTCCCTGTTTTTGACGTTCTACAACAGATGTATCTAACAACAATGGATCCTACTAATGTCAAGACATAAGAATGCACTTGACCTGTAAGTCTGGTAAATAGATCCATTAACTTAAGTAGTTAGAGCTTCTCTTGTGTCTGGCGTAAGTTTACACATAAAACTAGCATCTGTGAAATAAGTCTCTTCTGGTCAATAAACACGATACACAACAATTACAAATGACTTTTAATAAGCAACGAAATGTTGAACTGACGCTAAGAGATTATTCAATAAATCGTGACTACGAGTCTGACGAAGAGAATTTGGATGACGGTGAAAGTTCTAATCAAACCCTTCGGAGACTTGACTGCTGATTCCTGCCAAAACATCTGTTTTAAATCTGTTTTGCAATCGCTTCTTATTATACAAATTACACTACGAATTTCATCAGCACGATTCTGCTCACTTTCACTCTATTTATTTCGTCATCATATCTTTAGAAATGCATTGAAGCCTGACCGCCTGTTTTTGATTATGTCGTCTATCCACATTGGAAGACAAGTTATTTATTCAACCACTGTAAACAGTAATGACGTTAATAAACGCCAAACAAAATCCGTAAAGCTCTATTTCGGGGACGGCTCTTGCAGAGGTAGCTTACACCCATTAAAACAACTCTCTCTACGGATCCAAGCCGAGGCAGTGTGTTATATCTGCTGATTCGCCGGCCCGTGGTATCTACTGCTGACCCGCTTCAGTGCCTAGTGTCGGAAAGGAAAACGCTCACGGAAGGGAACACAATAGCTATGTGCCAACAAAGTGGGTGCGAGAGCGTGAGTGCGTGCGAGTGCGAAAAGTACAACGGCCTCAAGCTTTTTATTGGAAGGACACTGTCTGAACTTGGTCCAATGCTGAGGCACACGGTCTGGCTGCGACGTGCTACATATTGCGGGGGCGTTATCTGACCTTGATCAACGCTGACTCGCGCTGTCTGGGTTTGATACGAGGCTGTGACGCGCTGCATATTGAGGGGGCGTTGTCTATCCGGTTAACAGCTAGCGGACCTGAGAGTCTTGGTAGATTTCGGGCATTCAATGGTTGCTTTCAGGAAGCTGACCTTCCTAAACAGTGAATTTTCAGTTGACAACCAAAGTGACCGAATATTGTTATTGGTGTACGCTGTAAACTTTCGCAAAAAAATGCGACTGACGTTAGCGTCATATTCAAAGTCATCGTAGAAGCCTTCAGACTGAATAACGTTCTATGCACAGACTTGAACTTATATTAAAATCACCTCGATGGCTTAACGTTGGTTACATCGTCAGGCATAACATTAAAAAAAAACAGATGGAAAACCCACTGAACCACATTCAATGGTTGCTTTCAGGAAGCTGACCTTCCTGATACAGTGAATTTTCAGTTGACAACCAAAGTGACCGAATATTGTTATTGGTGTACGCTATTAACTTTCGCAAAAAAATGCGACTGACGTTAGCGTCATATTCAAAGTCATCGTAGAAGCCTTCAGACTGAATAACGTTCTATGCACAGACTTGAACTTATATTAAAATCACCTCGATGGCTTAACGTTGGTTACATCGTCAGGCATAACATTAAAAAAAAACAGATGGAAAACCCACTGGACCACAATCAGCATAGTTCTTTGAGAATTCAGTGGAAAGAGAGTGACACGATGGTATTGTGATCATCAGACCTGACATTGGAGTATGCAGAAACAGAGTGAAATTAACTTGGCTCAACAGGAAGCCCTAAATTTTTGACAATCAGTTACTGTTTCCATTTCTTTCCGCCACACCCCAAGGAGGGATCCGTCTAAAGAGGCGGAGATGGGTTTTGTTGCCAGATAAGAGGACTTTGGTGTCTTGTGAATACTTTTCGAATTAAGTAAGCCCTCAAAACAAGTAAAATTCAGCTATGGACCTCTGTACGCTCTTTCTGTGCCATTTTTAAAAATAATTGGAGGCACCTGGACACAAATACAGAGCAAGTTTTTTCCATGCTTAACATGTGTACATTTTACTTCGACTCTGTATCGTTCACATCTGTCATCCATTTGTTTAAAATGCAGCGTATTTGACAGCTTGTCAAAAATGCAATGAATTTGTCATACGTTTTTGTTGACGACCAGATTTTTTATTAAAAGTTGATCGTAACACTAGGACCATATAAATTTCCGAGGCTGCAGAAAACGCTCACGAAAATGTATTGGTAGAAAGTAACACCGGACTAAATTGAACTCTGTAAGCTTCACGAGAAGCAGGACATTAAAGTTAATTACAACATTTAATTTGTTGTCCTCGATTCTACAAACAGACTCTGCTTAAATAAAATTCTGGAATCGTGAAGAGTTATCAGGTGGCATGGTGGTGAAAAAATCAACACTGTCTTATTTTAACAACTCTAACCGGCGTTATCCTCATCACCTGCTGTCTGATTTGGTGTACTGTAAACGTGTACGGGACCAAATAGTCGGCACATGAGGTACCGATGTATTAAATCCTTCATCGACGTGTGCTGTGGGTGTATTCTATTCATAAGTCCCTTCATAAGTGTCGCAGATGGAAAAATGCGCTCACTTTCCCCGACAATACGAAGTTTAGACAATACAGCTGTGGCTTAGGGCCGAAATGTCTAGCTCCACACCAGGTGACGAGAAGGACTTTTGTAATTGTTCAATGGGAGCGATCCTGACTACCGTCATTGTAGAGAGCATATAACCAAATAGCACTTCGGAATCTGTAACGTCGACTGCTTTGTTCCACTCGCTTGACGATACCTTCATCTTACTGCAATAGAAATAGCGGACTCATGAATGGAAACTTATAAAGGGTAGAGGATTAAGGCGGAGACTATTGTATGCCTGTTGGTGAGGTTTACGGAAACGCTTGTTTCTGTTTCCGCTTCTACAGGATGTTCAGATGGCTGCATGTGTTTCAGTTAACCCTCTGTGCAATCTGACCCACGCGTTGATCACTTACACGATACACATTTTCTTTAACAAATCAGGCATGATTTTCATAAATGACTTGTTTTCGCAAGGTTTGGAAGTAGAAATGAATCCAAAGAGCGCAATACTGGAAGTGGGCTGACCAACGTGATGTATATAGTCATATAAAGAGAAATACTCCGCTATTATGTTTACAATTTCAAAATAAGCGCAAAGCAACATTTGAGTAACACACTGATGCCACCCCATCTGTGATTACGTCTTATACTTACATGGAACGCTTAGTTGGAAATAATATCACTCACCATTGACCAAAGCTGTTTGATCCGAAGCTTACATGAAGTGAAATTTATGCCCTCGTGGGTTGCCCTAACAGTACCCATATACGTAAATTAAACCACCATATTCCTCATCATAAATATGGAGTGGCCTCGTCCAAAAGCGTATTTATATGTTATTCCTAGGAACTGCCTGACTGTCTCCACTAACATTAGCGCCTTGGCGGGTCACCTGTGATTTCGTCACATACGCCAGTAACGTCAATTAAGCTAACTGCCTTAAGCTACACTCGCTTCACTTTTAGGTGGAGAAATTTTTCAGCTTTGTGATTAAAGCAATTCATACGAACAAAAAAACTACTGAACGTAGATGGACAGCGTCTTTTCTTAAAATCATCTATGTGGAAAGGTTGCATTTAGTTCAGAAGCAAAACAGGCACGTTATCGGCCCGTTTCACTCCTGTCACTAGTCGTTCATCTCTGGTAGTCCCATCATATGAAACGCGGGAAATTCGCCGAACAGACCAGAGCCTCAAGGAGCAAAACGACGATGATTTAGTTCACATTATCTCTAGCCTTTGTCGCAATTACGCTTGTATTGTGCGAGGTTAGCTGAATTGCCAGATATTCAGTAAAACGCCCGGGCTCGATTATCCGACCCTGGTGGCGGTTGAACCACCAGCTGAACTCCTGTTGGACACGCGGGATTTTGTAGATTCGTATACCGTAACCAGAGCGTTTTGGTTCCACGTGTATACAGTATCCCATCGAGCATCTCACGAAAATCAGCATGCAAATTTGACGAAATACAGCCTCAGTACGATAAGGAATATCACAAAACACAAACGAATCACCTATTCATTCGGACATATTAGATGTCTCCTACTCAGAATTGAAATTTCTCACTTGAAAGTGAACAATAACGTGATTTCTCACATCATCAAAATAGTTAGGCTCCTTGAACTGGCAGTTATTTGAGCAGTTATTTGAATAAAGCTAACTTATCCAACCGAGTGAACATTTCTGTTGATCGAGGATGACTTTATTAAAAACAGGTGTCAGGGGCATTATGTGGGGTTCCACTTTAGGGCGTTTTCAGTCGTGGATATCCTTAAAAACATTCATTCTTGACAACTTATTCGGATGTGAATCGACCATGCCACAAGAATTACATTCAATATTGATGTGGAGCTGGTTTTTAGGTTATGCCATGTCGGTCGACATCTATACGATTTTCATCTTTCCTAGGTATCAACTCCAGAACTTGTAATAAAAATTCTTTGGCGGAAAGAGAGTAGTTTTTTAGTTTTATCGAACGAATGCATCGAAAAACGATGCATTTATCTGAGTCCAATGATTAAAACTGCAGCTAGAATTAAGGTACACCAAAGCACAATTTGTAAAACAGCTATGTAAAATCGCTGGGATTAAAAGAGGTGCATGTCCAGTGCTCAAGCATAGCCTTAGAATTGAACAGGTTTTTTTTTCAATAAATGCGACTGCATAAAAGCTTTCAAGTGTGACGACGGTTCTAAAGTATCCAATATCCATCAAGTCAGTTAGGCTTGGATTTGAAGATGGTAGTCACAAATGTAGGGTGTGAGTGTTTGGGAAGGCAACCCGCTACGTCTTTTGTCTTGAATGCGACCCGTTTTCACCGTTCGCCGCAACAACACGCCACAATTAACTCCGCTAGCGAATCAAAGGGACTTCTTGATCCAATCCATGTTATGAAGTGTTCTGAGCAATATCTGGCTGGTGGCAGATTGCTTGGCAAGCTTCACCACGTGGGTTGACCCCAGAAATTATTTTGATCCCCAACTGCCATGGGCATAAACGCAATTTGTGGCCGCGCGGAACTTAGCTGAAGGTCACACCTGATGTCATGCGACCGATCCTCCTTTACCCACTTAGAAATTGCGAAACGTAACTAGACGCCTTCTGGATTGTTTTTCAGGAGCAAGAACACCCAACTCGTGTGGTCACACCTGTGTCATGCGACCGATCCTCCTTTACCCACTTAGAAATTGCGAAACGTAACTAGACGCCTTCTGGATTGTTTTTCAGGAGCAAGAACACCCAACTCGTGTGATGTAGCCAGAATGGTTTATGGAATATATACGGCACTGTTTACAGTAATCTAGAATGCCTATCCGCTTCGCACGGCACTGGTTTATTAGGTAAGGCCGAATGCAGGTGTGTTTGTTCGTCAAACTCTTGAAGCACCGGTGACTCACACTCGATCTCATGTGAGCAGTTAGCGCGTGACTCACCGCCGTCCACATATGTCAGTTTTACCACACCACCAATCATCATATGATCTTATCTGATATACACTACTGATTCTTCTGTTGTTTCTCTTTACATGCTGCACCTCTGTCAATTGTTCACGTACAGAGTACCCTTTCTGGTCGGTAACAATTTTCCCCATTTGCTGTTTGACTGGACATTCAGCCAAGTATCACAGCAGCATGTGCAAAAATATCTTCATAGTGCAACAAGATGGCGCCGATCAAAGAGTCCTGTTTTGTCGTAATTTATTTCTCCCTTCAGCACATCTGGTAGCTGCCTCATATTGCACGACATCGTTTTATGCTCCTTTTAGGGGAAGCTTTGAGAACTCTCTCTACCTCAGATGAAGACATCTTCCAAAGGGAGCACTAGTATGGGTCTCCACGGATAATCTCCCAAAGATCAAGCAGTAATAAATTTAGTGAAACTTTTGGCTTTCACAAGTTAGTATCACTAGATTACAGTTGGCTGAAATCCATGGGTGACCTACAAGAGCTATGTTTCATAATGTACCGCAGGAAATGCATCTGAGTTGCAGTGAAACGCCTTAAGATTCCTACTTGATTCAAGAGAAATCTGAACTTAGCCAAAGCTCTCACCAAGGCCTTAGCTTCCAGCCGACAAGATAAACACATTGCACATCAAGTAAACCATACACTTTTAAGATTTTATAAATGCGGCGCTTAAAGCAAGTAAACTAGCACTCACCTGACGAAGTAGTTCCGAATGTGCAAAATCTTCCATTCTTGCAGCTTCAAACATCCACGAATTCGATTCCCACCATCGGTTTTCTACCTCAGTCGGAGTGACCACGTATGACGAAGGCCTCGGTGGGAGTCGTCCGTTGGTGTGAGAAAATGAACTTTGACCGGTATTGCTATACAGTGCTGCTGTGAAGTCACGTGCTGAGTTCGATTCGATACTTAATATAAGAGAAAGACCAACACTAATTGTAAAAAGAAATGTGTAAAATACGCGGAAGCACAAGTAGACCATTATGAGCACTTTTCGAGCAGCAGTCATTGGTTCTGAACCTTGTAGTTGTGTTGTTGCACCACTTAGAAGGCTCGTAGAGGAAGACATGGATACTGAGGGAACAGTTCGTGTTGATCGATGATGAGCGACGGCACTGCTGTGCTTCGAAGTGCCGGAACAAGCCCGCACAAAACAGTAAGCTGTTAAAAGGACGAGATAAAGCAGCCCGATGACGATGCAGACGAGTATGAAGGGTAAATACAGGCGCTCCAGTTTCCACATTCTTTCCGGTGGCATAGAAAAAACGGGCACCAGCGGTCTATCTGTTTCTTGCGACGAGGCTGAGCTCACATAATCGTCGCCAATATTAGTTTCCAAGTGGTAGTTTTGTGCGCAGTCTCGCAAATATATATTGATGGTGTAGGTTCGGTTAGCTACCTGATGCCCTTTCGTGATCTTTGCAAGATCCAATTCTAGTGTGAATGGGCTTTGTGTTTCCTTGAGATTTGGAGGTCTGTTCCACGTCTGCTGCTGCAGGCCAGGTAATAGTAAAATATCCTCTTTCAGTATGGGCAAACTGGCACTTGATTCCCCATTATCAGTGCCTTGCGACGGATCAGTTTGTTGTTCAACCAATAAATCCAGATAGGTGGGCTTTTCCGTCACCCAACCTGTTAAAGAGATCAAATGTTTAGAGGAGGGATCAATCTTTGGTTGTCACTCGATTATAAATTTATTTAGAACATTTTGGTGCTGGATTGCAGGAGTTTCCTCGTCAGTATTGTTTAGTGTTATGCTTCGCATGAAGATTTGCCTCGCAACGCGCAATAAGGAAACCTTGTCATGGGATCGAGACAGCTGATTTACAGACAGGCAAACAAGAGCCAACTTTGGCTTCCGAATTAATGCTACATCCAACAGTGTCCATGATGTTACGACGGTCGCCTTTCGTGTGCGGACTTACGCACCATCACAGACAAGCACACAGACGCACGCACATTTCCGTCTGCACAGTCCCACAAGAACTTCTGAAATGGCATTTCCCACAAAACTGTGCATAAAAATTACCGCTTGGATGCCTTTCGTGTCGAGCCTAATTCAATCTACCGTAGTAACACACCTACAGTCCGCTGCTGACCACCCACCAACACCGCTGTTGTTCTCATCTGCTCAATGTTGGTCCATCTCTACCCGCGCTTGTGCATTTGTGCATTCCTAGTGTTTGTTATACGGTCGCAGGCTACCCGTGCTTTAGCATGTGTTAATTTCATTGGCTGAGTGGATCTGACGCAGTCTATGCAAGACTGGTAATCTAACGGAGCAAATCAATCTTCTTATCACTGTATTTCATCTCCGTACGCACACAAGCACACAGACGCAGGTGTGTGGCCATCTGGAGGAGACAAGCCGATTGCGGCTATTATAATTTAATCCATCAACTAGTATTATTTCTTGGAACGCCTCTCCTCAACCGATTCCAATTCAAGGACTGTTGTGTGCGTGCGGTCTGTTAATCAGCCTAAAAGAAACACGATGAAACTAGCCACCTTAGGACATAGTAACTGAGGGAAGATACACATCCTGACCGACCCACCGAGAAATAGGAGGAAATAAGTTCTAGGTGGGTTTCGCCAAATGGCCTGTGACCATTCTATCTTCAGGTGTGCCATAAATCTAACCGAAAAATTGATAAACCAATTACCTTGGAAAGATGTGTTTCAAATTTGTCTTGAATATTGTTCCTGATATAAAATACGCAATATCTCAGAATACAAAAAACACTGAAGCCAGAATACCTTTGTTGACTCCTTTCAAAATATACCTCTTAGTTATGGCAGTAATGGCACATATTAACCTTGAAAATGGAATTTATTTGGTCGAGGTTTTTCGAGCTATGTACTCTGGCAAGCTAAATATTTGGAACCCAATGATTCCCCGTTAAATTAGGATATTCTGCGTTCCAGGACTGAACCCATATAAAGCGACTGACCCTCACTTCACCTCTCCCCTGAATCATTCACTGGCTTCAGGTATAGGAGAAAGTGATCCTGAACCTCACTCCCAACTAACAAAGAGATATGACTGTAAAAGGTATATTCAGCTTCACTGTAAGTAGGGTAATGTATACGGAAATTGGATTCAAAATATACCTGCAGATTGTAAGCAACTTGATCGAGTGCATATAACATGTTGTCTTTCGTGACACGCCCCCCGCAGCAAGTAGCGTGATGTCTTACGGAAACAGATTAGCAAAGATGCCATAAAGCGAGATAGACAAGATTTATACTACTGACAAGAATACTAGTAAACAAAACAGAGACGGACATGGGAGACTTTGTTATTGCTTTTCTATCGCATTTTGTGCAGAGTTTCAAACCGAACTTGACTGCTAGTTTATACATTAGCAATCATCGTCCACCTAATGAGACAATCTTACAAAGCATTCGAATCTTACGTAATTACATCGGTCCACCTCGGCAAAATGTGGTCATAGTGCTCAGTTATTCAGTGCTTTCAAGGAGTTGGTTTGAAAAAGCGTACCGAGGTTGTCCATGAGGGTAGAACTCTACTGATCCAAAAGCAAGCACACTCCGTCCATAACTTAACTTTCAATAATCGCTAAATGTGCTAGCTCAGTCTTTAAGGACACCTAGGACTGTGGGACAAAGACAACTTTGTGGCACTTCGTTAACTAATGTAACTTCATCCGCTATCAGGCCTTAGCATGAAAGGAAAACGTACAGTCACTCTTAGGATATTTACCATTCACTATTTCTCTCAAAAGATTACGTGCAAAATGGTGACAGCTCTGTTTTGTCAACGTAACATCAAGTGGTCCGATCCAAGAACCCACAAAATACTGCCTAGCGTGTGTTCGACTGCAGACACAGATTTCGAAAAATAAAATTCGCTATATGTTCACACTCCCCGTCCAATTTGAGCGCTTTTGGCCAAAACCGATCTGGACGAGAATAATGTTTCTGAGTTTACACAATTTTCCCTTCATCATTCTGTCACAACTATACAGTGCCGTTAGCGTATAATTGAATTTATCAAATTCGTGAAGCTTTTACTCAACTATCAATCGTAGAACAAACCACTGGGTAAGAATTGTTCTACTAAAAGTGGTGACCTGTTGGGTATTCATCACAGAACGCTGCTCGCGGCGTTCTGGTAGATTGCCCGTAAAAGTATGTGACTGCATGAGTTATTCCCTAATAATATATCCACTTATGAGGTCTTGTGGACTGGGAACTGCCGTATACATCAGTGGTAATTTTTGAACGCGTCCAAGTATAAGGTGGCCAGTGAGCTTTGGCACATATCCCCTAATAGTGTTTGGAAGTATTCCTTGGGAATACGGTCATATGGGCCCGCATTTGTTTTTTCTCAGCATTCGTAGCTTACGCCGGCGCCTGTACGGTGATTGCCATTCCATCCTACAAAATATCGTTCGAGAATCCAGACTACTAGGTAGTAGTATGACTTAAAAGGCGCTCTGAAGAGATTGAGAAAAAATAATGTACCATTTTACCCAACCAAGGTTTAGCAATGGAAAGACCGAATTAAATGTGTTACCATTCTAACCGGGGAATCGTACACTGACCTTTGGCCTCAGCAGTTCCTACAGATATGCCTATGCAACCAAATCTGTTAAATCTGCAAGGCTCCTAGCGCATTGTCGCCAATGTGCTGTCATCCAAAGGAGACTTGGAATCGCGAACATTGTGGGTGCCTGCCACTTTGGCTTTTGTCATTGTCTTAAGTATAGCTGCAAATGTTGGTCCAGAGGCTTAACCAGACCTCACCTATTAAAGGTTCATTGGGTTGAAGAAACGAAAGCCTCAATATTCGAATAAGCTGGGTGTCCCACGAGAAAAAAACTTCTAATACCAAAGCTTTGTTGCTGTTGAGACACCCAGCTTATTCAGAGGGTTGAGGTTTTCTTTGGTTGTAATATTAGCTCAGGCAGTGTATTTGGTCGTTGGTTTGTTTGCAATTTAATTGCAAACGTTTTCATCACCAATCGGGGTGACATCATCAGTGCGTTGTTAGTTAGCGTAATAGTGCGTAGTGATAGGTCGGTGGTTGTGCGTTGAGTAGTGTTGTGTGTGTTTATGTGTGTAAACATACGTGCTCTTGGCCGGGGCTGACTTCCGATCATCGTTATTTGTTTGGTCGGGCGGTTTTATCGCATGCGCTATTATCCTGTGTCAAGGTTCGTCCAAGTGATCCCTGAGCTTGGTATCCCCTGCCCTCGTACTATGGTTGCACACGAATGAAGAAACAAAACGGGGTTATCAGGGGACATAAACTCTATCCTTGATATCAATACATGAGAACCACAAAGGCCACAATGTCAGTCAGGAGAACGCAAAAAGTTTGGCACACGAAGGCACGAGACATGGAAGGGAATTTCTGGAATCATGTCACTACCCGGCGGACTCGACCAACTAATGCATTGAACTGGATCCAATTTATGCACTACTAAGTGCAAGGGACCAAGTTCTCAACCGTACTACTCAAGGAGAACCGAATACTGGATTCACAAAAAAAATAAACAGATCAATAAACGTCACAAACCAGAACTCGGAAGAGTCAAGAACCGGGGCCATTCCAGCATAAACCGGGGTGCGAGAGCAAGAAATACCAGGGGTCACGTGGACATCGACGAACCAAAACACAGGATAACAGCGCCCGACAACACAGCTAATCATGATCGGAAGTCAGCCCCGGCCAGGAGCACGTATATTAACAGACATACACACACACACAACACTACTCAACGCACAACCACCGACCTATCACTACGCACTATTACGCTAACTAACAACGCACTGAGGATTTCACCCCGATTGGTGATGAATCGTTTGCAATTAAATTGCCCAGCTCAGCGAGCAAACCAACGACCAGAACCGCACTAATTTCAAAGGCCTTTTAAATCCCTGAAACCAAATTTATCTCTAATATACCGGTTGACAAATACCTAACCGGGGATATAGAGTTCATGCACGCACATGCACACATGCACCTTGAGTTCTCCTACAAAACTCGGATAGCTCGCTCAGACCATCCGCACTGCAGATTGCTCAAGTACATTCATGACTTCAGCTCTCACGCTAGTGCTCGCTGAGATATTCACTTCGTGTATACAAATTTATTTGGCATAGGGGAACATATTCAAAACAAAGCCTTCTGCTAACATTATCAAGCGTTGTGTGCATGTACATTTAGGTGGAAAAAGCACGCCAGTAGCCTCTTTTCTTCAGGGATCCAACGAAAAAGAAAGACAAACGTACTCATTTCCCTAAACGTTTTGAATAAATCTCAAAAATTTATTTCATTTCGTAGAAGATCCGTTAAGACACCAGTATTTCCGATGTCTCCGAGTCGACAAAGCCAGGTTATATGCCCTTTAAAAATACCAAAAGCAATAAGATTTTGGAAGTGCAAATTACTGCCATGGAATCCGTTGGAGGTAAATGCAGTCAGCCTATCGAAAAGCTGTTTTTGTAAATCGTTGCAGTACCCTTATTTATGGAAAAGTACCTATGAAAACCTAACACACATCACTTCTTGTAAGAAACAATCCCTAATAACAGAAGGGGATACATCCTCTTCAACATCCATGTTTCTAAAAGGAGATAGTCAAAAGTAGTTACCTATGCTGCCTACCAAGTTCCCACTTACTACTCAGTTGATGTCATGGGCTGATTTGGTCACAGGTTAGTCCAGGACACAGACGGTATTAATTGTTGGAAAACATCAATGCTTCTGTAAAACTTGATAATGACAAGGCTGGAATAAGGGGAAAACAGCACAGAATAATTCGACGTTGATCACTCCTCCGGATTCTGACTTTGCCGCCGTGCTAAATCTGCTGTAAAATCTTGTTTGAACATCTCATTTTTCGCTTACGTTTTAGTTTAAGTAGGCGACACAACAATCCGTTAATCTTAATGAACCCAAACACAGCGACAAGCGAGCGCTATTAGCGCTTAACATGTTCTCCAATAAGCTCCAGTCAAAGACGGCATAGGTTTTGGTGTATGATTCTTATGCCAGAAATACATTATCTTACTGTATGTTCACGAAGGATGTATAGAGCACAGTGTACGAAAAACCAAGTGAAATAAATGTGACGCACACGGAGAAACGTCCTTATCTGGGATGTGTTTCTTTGTCCTCTGAATGTGTTTCATGAAAAAAAGGTGAATGCCCTTTTCACTGAATGTGTTTTTTTCGCAGGTCCCATTTAAAGTACGAATATTGTTTTAACTTGCTCCGTACGAGCTGAAGAAAATTTGGCATCAAGATACGATGGCTTTTGATGTTTAGAGTATAATGTTGATGTTATTCATAACTGAGGAGTAACTGATTCGAAGACAAGAATCGCACACAAGTGAACGAATCTGTGTAATATACCTCGACGGGTTAAGATTTGCGGCCATGCTGGTCGCGGTGGAGGTCATTCATTAGTGATCAAGTTTATTGTCAATTTGAGTGACTACAAAGCTGCTTCATACGGAAGGTTCAAATTTCACGCTTTCGGAAAGTGAGAACCGCATACATAATCACATACATGAAGGTTCTTAGAATATAAAAACGACCGCACTCCGAAAAAAGGTTTTGACGTATCCATATCTACCACAAACACTACGTACAGTGAGAGGTCAAAATCAGTCACATAGTTCTACTAGGAAGTGACAGTAGGAACACTACTGAGCTCAGTTACGCAACTTGTCCGTTGACATCGTTCTTAATGAAGAGTCCGAATTTAGCATAACCAATCAACACAGCGTATTCTTATGCAGGTTCGAAAATGAATAACAACCGATAATATAATAATAACATTGGTATATTTATTCATTTGTGGATGCAAACCCACCTTCAATGCCTACTCGCCAAGATTCCGTCCGTTCACATCTATCAGTGTCCACCTCTGTGTTGATCAAACGTGAAGTGGCTTTTAATTCCATGCCAGCCCGATTTATGATGAATCCGATTCGCCTCCGGAGCCAGTCGGTTTGATTTTTTGCCGTCGTTTTATACACTGGTGATAGCCGAAGATTTTGGATGCAGAGTGCCGATCGAAGCAGAGAATGCTTGCTTTCTGAAAAGTATTCAGATGTGTACATATATAACCATATGGTGAACATGATGATACTTCCTCTGTGTTTTAGTTGGATCTTCCAATTTATCTTTTAGATTGCACATGAAAACACACATCTGACTTTGAACGACCATCACTAAGCTCAATTTTTCAGATGTTTATTAGAGGGAATGAGAGGTGACTCCACGGTAGAATTTGTTCCCACTCAACAAAAACTTCAACAAGGTGCGTTACGTTACACACTTGGGTGAGCAACAGAGACTTTGAAGACTAATTCTGGGATTTTTTCTATTGATAGTAACGATGAACAGACCGAAACCACCGAGATAAGTCTACAAACCAGGAATGCAATCCGCTACTATTTACTGAAATTGCGAAACGCCCGGTTTGGTCGAATAAATAAAATTTCTGGGTCAGCTGGCAGCTGTTGCACCAGAAATACTTGATGAAGCACGTAACAACCTAAAGAAAAACGGGTCAATATGCTCAGCAATGGTGCTAGAATTTCTTGAAAACCTTTCTTCTTTGACTTGACCCCACTTGGAGTGGTTTTATGGAGTCTGTTTAAACCATTTGCGTATATTAGGCATAATGCCATCTCAGAGATGTTTTACGAAGTTACGAAGTATAATCCAGGAGTACATATTCCATAGCGTTCATAGCTTATATATGACGAGGATCTCTTGAAGGATAGCACTGATATTCACCTTCATAAATATGCATTTTAGTGTACATTGCGTTTAGCTATGGTGAACAACAACTTTCAATCAACTGTCAGTAGACAATTTTCTCAGTCCTGATAGGACTTCCAGGATGGATAATGCTACCTAAACACCACATGTATCAGCGACTAATACCCTTTCACATACAATAAAATGCTGAAATTTGGCATAAAAAATAAGAACACCCGGTTAACTCACCAGCCTCCATAGTGACCTGAATTTTGGGACCCAACTGTGCCCCATTCAGCGTATACTGGAAAGCCCCATTTGCATTTTTTCTAGTCGGTGAAGCCAGAACAATCGGAATTTCACTGGTTTCATCGTAAAGGGGTTGACTTTTATGCATGTGGCTGATATTTAACTGACAGGATTCGTTCCCCCAGCTTTCAGTATTGTGAAGAAATGGAGTTGTGAACTAAAGTGGAGCGAACACACGTTAAAGAACGTTGCTGTTACCAGTCGTGACGAGACACAGTTAATGGTGAAAAGTCAAGAATTGCCCTAAGGCAGCTTCGCATTTGTCTAGAAGTGCATGTCTAGCCTGGAGATTAACAAGAAAGTTCACCACACCTCGTCAATAAGCTTCTAAGTAACAGTGTTTTTAGGTTGTACACTATAAATATATCCCAACACCATCCTTCACGCGAGTTATCCATTTCTCACTAGCCCATCTATTTGCCACTTCAGGGAAGGTAAACTAACTCGACTCACAGGAATTTTGTATGTCTTACACACCGAACTCTGGATCCCACTGCTCGACAGTGCAGCAAAAGAGCTTTCATTGATTAATGATTCTCCTTCACTCATTGGCATCCAACTACGTAATTTCATAAATAAGTTGTTCACGCAATGATCCGCAGTTTGTGTTTTCCACAAACTCCTCAAAATTAACAAAACTGGTAAGCCGGTAGTCCGCCACACATGCTGACAACAGGGTAGTAATTTGGCCATATTTCCTTGTCCTTAGGGAGGTGCTGAATAGGGACCTTTTTCTAGCTAATCAACGGACTTCCATGGCCCGTTCGTCAGCAGCAGACTGTGATACGACGGAACTTGGGCAATCACCCTTGTGCTCTTCACCGACTGCGACAACTGAACAATGGAATTATGACGTTCATAATGACTAAGGCTGAAATTGTTTATCATTTGTCACAGTTCACGTCAGTAAGTTTGACCTACAAGACGATGTATCTTTCCTCGTACAGGTTCCGCAAAGACATTCGGATAAATGAATAAAAGTACTGCAATAAAGACTTTCAGTGACTCAATGAAACACGCTAACAGGGAGATGCGTTAGGTGATCTGTTTAAACGGCACGTGACCAACTCATTCCAAGGGGTTTATCTAGTGAAGTGAATTCAACTTCAGCTGGGGCGTCTAGAAGCCAAGCGTATCTAGCTGATCGCTGTCCGAATCTATCAGAAATGTACATGCCACAGGCGACTTTGCTCCATTAAATTCAGAATACAGATTCAGTTTTCTAAATTTCAGCTATCATTGTCTAAGCATCATTATAGCTGACAAGCACTTCGAAGTTGCTCCACTGCGAGAAAAATCTAAATAACATAGACAAATAAGACACTCATAATATTATAATGCATTTTCAGAGATTTTTCAACCCCAAAACAAACTTGACTCAAAGTCAACATGGTTGGAGCTGTGCATTGGATCGGCCTCCCGGATCTCAATGACGGAAGCTATTGGGCTGGTTTCTATTACAATATTTATACTGAACATGCTAAATAAGAAAAAGTTAGTATTCCACGGCTTCCCAGGTTCCAGCCTCGGTTGAAGCCGCCTTAAGGGATGGAGTCTGTCATTAAGGCTCCGAACAGCCGTTTATAAATTTGAAATTCAACATTAGTGTAATCGCATAAATGGTGCGGTAAGTCTGGCCATAAATTTTTAAGACAGTCCCAGGGCTCGCCGTTTTCAGGGTTTATCAGGCTTAGTCCTCAAAATCCGTTTAATAATGATGTGGTCGGTGGGTACAAGCAACACTAATGAGTTTCAGCTGGAAATCAAGTTGTCAGAAATTAAGATAGCCAGAAACCTTATTAATCACTCAGGTTACCGAGGGCGCATCTGCCACCAACTTTATTGTTTGGGGGCGATAAGCAGGATATATTATATTCTATCATAATATATGACATTTTTTTGAGTTATTGAGTATTATCGTGGGTTATAGTTGTTTTTATCAATTTTATTTTGGTGTTCTTCCAATCTTTCCACACAACTTCACAGTTGCGCGCCAGTAATGCATCGATGGATAGCTTTGTATTTAGTATACTCTACTGTCGTTATACAGTGCTCATTTAGCTGTAATTTTTTGGGGAACTGCATACATGGAAAGCAGGAAAGTTCATTTTGGATGACTGTAAACTGTAAAGCTTTTTTCTGCACTTAAAGGAATGTGTGTTGAAATTGTCCAGCTTGTCGACTGAAATTCATCTTGGTTGACACTAATTTGGTATCGTAGAGTGTGGAAGAGATTTCATGTGTTGGATGGTGGGTGCCAAGTTGTGAAGGATATACTGAGTGAAGTAGCAGCTTTCGCTGGCACAATGTCCTTCTCAGAAATCGTTTATATACCACATCAAGAATTGGTACCATACTGTCCACAATACCGTCTAATCTACGGATTGGTTGTTATTGTTATTTCTGACCGTAGCTTGACACTTAATATTATTGCAAAACAACGTTTGCGGCAAAAAGGTATTTGGTCTAGCACATGAATGAATAAAGGTTGTATCACGTTATGCTTACAGCCGTAGGGATTTCAGAGATGTGGCCGAATGGGTACAAAACGATGCACATAAAAGCTTTTATTCACAATAAGTATGGGCAAATTCAGCACAAGTAGCCAGGAGCAAATATGTTGTGGTGGCTTACTTGGACCGTGGCGTACTTTTCCTCACGATGCTTTTCATATTGAGGTAGGGCCAGACCAAATTCATCGAAGGATTTGAGCCGGTATACATAAAACTGACCTAATGCATTTTTGCGTTTCAGTATCAGCTGTCCCCATAAGTTAGCTGAAGACTGGTGTTCCACACGAAGTTTATCATTCCACAAAAGGACCATGCCTCTCATATTCCGACTCCAGCTACTTTCCGCTCTCCTATACCGCGAGTGTTTCACTGCCTTGGAAGAGTGAGCCTCACGAGTGTCTCTTATCCCATTAGGTGGCCTCAGCGAAACAACGTGACTGACTGGGTCCGTTTTCCACGTACCGTTTACTACCAGCCAAGTATTGATGGTATACAAATTTTCCGGTGGAACATGGGTCAAATGACACATAAATGAACCGTTGGCGAGATCGAATTCCGGATTGAGTGTAAACTTGAGTGTTTTACCTAGAAGTGATAAAGATAAAAATAAAAACAGTTTACATACATGTCTAGGACATACTAAAGCATCTGTAGTATTATAATTTGAGTGCATCGTCTGTCCCCTCGTTTTACTTCATCAAATAGGACATTGCTGTGCGGAACGAGCCCGGTTGTTGTTGTAGACATCAGCTACCAGAAAACGTACACTTTTGTCACTAAAGTTCATCATAATGGTAAAATGTGAACCCAGGTGGGTTTTTCTGGTATTCAGCTGTTCCTCAATCTAATAGGTGAGAACGGACGCAGAAAGCAACAACTGCCGTTTCTACCTGAAAAACAAACAACCACTAACCAAATAACCGCTACGCTACCTAACACCGCGCTGATGATATCACCTCGACTGGTGACGGGACGTTTACAATCAAATCGCCCAGCTCAGCGAGCGGACTAACGACCACAAACAACTACTGTTGTTTATCCGTCAGGAGAAGGCTGACCTGATCCGTGCGAGACAAATTGAATATTGACTTTTCACTCACAGTAGGGATAGTTAAGATCCAGTCAGTTGACTAGTTGCGATGCGAGTTTCAGAATAGGTGGTCAGGTGTGGCAAGTCATCATTTATATTTCGATTGCTTCTGCCTGGTGTGGTACAACATGTACTAAACCACCGTGTTCCCCCTATGTTATATGGAAGGTATTCATCAGAAGGCTTCTTTAGCTTGCATAATGCTATTTACAAGTATCCCTGTCTACTTATCCGATTAGCATAGTGAAACTTCTTTTAATATACTTGGCGAAATAAACTCGACTGCATATGAAGCCAGTTATAACACGTGGCCCACTCGGGTCACAGTCGAATCACTTATTTGCAATGCACTTCTTCGCAAAGGTAAAACCTCATGTTGCGATTGAGATGGTATTTTTTCAAGGAACATATTACACGTATTGCTACTGGACAACCAGCGGCTGTTTTCAGCCTTGCAGGGCTCATTAGATAGGTAGGTAGTATTTATCATTCGGTTCGAGTTAAACGCGCAACTGGGGAAATGCCAACATAAACTAATCAATTCAAGTTATTTCTCAAGCTGCACTAATTGGGCTGTAAGTGGTGGACATTAGCTGAAAAATAAAAGATGCTAAATCTATCGCTAGGACGATTGGAAACTCTATGGTGGTCAAGACAGCCTAAGTGAACAACAATCATTATCACTGGACAATCAAAAGACAATCATTCTTGCACATTTGTCACATTCTCCGTACATTCTAATTTGCACTGGTACATTTTGCGGCAGTTTTGTCTTCTTTCATGCAGTCTGCTACTAACCAAACTTTTAAATTAGGATTCTCGTCTCCACTACGATCCAGCCAATAACACAAAAAAACTGAAAGCTTGTGACGGAGCCTTGTATTCACATAATCCTCAATTGAAAGACCATTTATCTGGCATCGCCGCAACTGCACACTTGGAAAAAGCAGTTTTGCGAAATTTCTACTTACATATTAAAAGTTCACCCCCCATAATGTCAGCTGAGAGGTCTTCCTGCAACAGCTTGACAGCTGATCTTAGCTGCTGAAAGTATTTTTACTTTTGTAGCCATGTCGGTAACGTGACAAATCACATATACCTCAACTCTGATATTTTATGCTACCAAAAACCTCAACCCCAATGTGGAAACGACGGACGGCTTTATCAGTGCTGCGCAATAAGTAGCTGTCATTTTTTAGTCAGCGAGCTGAACCACCTCCTCGTGGTGCCGACCGGGTAGCCTGGACGTCTGCCTGGGTGAGCTAAAAGTTCAGCAACTCCAGACAGGGCCAACCACCCCGTTTGGTTTCAATGTGCCGGTTACTTTCGACAATGTATACTACGAATCATCTGGCGCCTCCACACCAGTTCCAACCAGTACACAGGAGAGACTCGTTGGGTTCACGTGTGAGGAATGTG